ACACACACACACACACACACACACACACACACACACACACACACACGCACACGCACACATACGCGCAAACAAACACACACACACACACACACACACACACACGTGCGCACCAACACATGCACGCGCAAACACACACATGCACGCGCAAACACACACATGCACGCGCAAACACACACATGCACGCGCAAACACACAACCCAAAGTTCACTTCAGCTGCTTAATTCATAAAGGCCTTTTGTTTCAAACAAACAGCTGCTAATTCAAAATGACTGATGAAAGCAGTTGCTTTGGCTCACAATTAAAGTATATTTATGTGGCACATGGCACAATGAAATTTAATCTTATAATAGCACTTACATTTGCATAATCTAAAATACCATCTCTGTACAGTAAAAATGATTTTATACATGGCATTTCCTATTAGAGTTAAAGTAGATTAGACTCCTATATTGCCAACTTCAAGTTGAAGGCTGACTTCCTGCTGGTAAGTAGTTGAACAGTTTCCCCCCTCAACAGCTAAAACAGATTAAATGTTACCATACGAAGAAAAAAAAAAAAGAGTATACTTTCTCATTCACGTGCGGGGGGCGGCAGCGGGGGGTTACTTTAAGATCAACATATTCCAACATATTCAAAACCAACTAACAATTATTGACAAACTTACCAGTTACAATGGGGTCTCTTTTTTGTAGTTAAAGCCAGATTCTGATCCTTCAATCTGTAGTTTGAGGGCTTGTTTAAGGCTTAATTCTGTCTCACCAATTGGGTAGCCATCAAGGACATCCTGGTGCCCTCTATCTTGTACAGTCCTGGGAACAGACACTCTGCCAAGGAACACCTGATTGCCCTGTAGGTGGTAATTAGGGTTGGTCATGATGCCGTTCCGCTTCTTCTCTGAACTACTCTGCTGCTGGATGAGGAATTGCTGTTGCGAGCGTCCCACTTCTTGCTGGGCGGAGGATGGGACGACGATCTTGCACTGTGGATCCTTCAATCCGATGTTTGAGACTGGTTTTGTAAGGGCGTTTCTTTTGTCCAACTGGGTCATCTCGTATTCTAACACAGGACCCTGGGTTGAACTACTGTTCTTAGACTTCTTCTTCTCTCCCGAAAGTCCTTTGCTCGAGGTGTTGGATGTGCCATTTCCAATTTTACTTCCTTTGGTTGATTTTAGACTGGATTTCACTTGGCTCCATTCAAATTCACTGGATGGAGAGCTAGGCTGTAGTCCGATGGACTTAGTGGTGGAGGACGGGGAAACAATAGACTGTCTACTTCGGCTACGAGGCAGAGAATGCTGCTGTATCTGCTCGGTGAATGTGAGCCCGTGGAAACTGTCTATTGGAACAGTCTGGGCTGTCGCAGTGGATGATGTTGTCCTCAGGGATGAATTCTTAGAACTTTTGAGGGAATTATTTGAGAGGGAGGACTTCTGCCGGTCTACTGTAGAGTCGGGGGACTCCGACGGGGAGCTGAAGGCGTGGCCCGGCCCATTCGACAGACCTCGTCCTGATGGCTGGAGGTCGCCTGCTCCTGTGCTACCGGAGCTGTTTGACTTTATTGTGAGTGACTGCATCTTTCCAGAAACAGAGATGGGAGTCTTCTCTTCCATCGTGTGTACTGGGGAGGGGCTGCAGCCATTCAAGCTTGAGGCACCATACTTTTCCAGGAGCTTTATGATTTGAGAGTGCCCCCCTTTCGCGGCCACCCGCATGGCCGTGCGGCCAAACTGATCGGCATGGTTGGGGTCCGCGCCGTGCTCAAGTAGGATCTGGACGACATCGATGTGTCCTTCCTGGGCTGCAATGCAGAGTGCAGTTGCCCCCTGGTTGCACGTGTGGTCCACATGGGTGCCGTTTTCGATCAGGAACTGGACAACTTTGGTATGACCCTGCCAGGCTGCAGACTGCAGGGCAGACCGCTTCTCGTTGTCGCAAGAGTTGACATTCGCATGACAATTGACCAGCATCCTAACCATTTCCATATGCCCCTGCCAGCAGGAAACATGGAGGGCCGTTCTCCCCTCTGTGTCACTAGCCTCAACATTGGCCCCATTCTCGAGGAAGTATTCTGCCATAGCCAGCTGGTTTTCAAGTGCCAAGATGTATAGTGTGGGGCGTCCATCTGCATCTTTAAAGTCTATGTCAGAACCATGGCTGAGGAGAAGTTCCACTATATCCCTGTGGCCTTCCAGTGCAGCCACCCGAAGCGAGTTCCTCCCATCATAGCCTCTCTGATCGATGTTGGACTTGTTTTCTAAAAGGATTTGCACACAGTCATAATGGCCCTCTTGTGCGGACAGTATTAGCGGGACGCGTCCATCATTATCTACTTCCGAACATCGTGCTCCTTGCTCAATTAGAGCTTCGCAGACTTGCCGGTGTCCCTCGAACGCAGCCATGTGGAGAGGGGTCCAGCCAGCATCATCCCGGTGATTCTCATCCAGTCCTCTGTCCAGCAGAGTCCGAACAACCTCCACATTCCCCTGAGCAGAAGCTATGCTCAACACTGTCCTACCCTCGCTGTCGATGCTGTCCACAGCCGCGCCCCAGAACAGCAAGGTGTTTACAACTGACGCATGGCCCATGGATGCCGCCGCGAGGAGCGGGGTCCTGCCGTTGTTGTCCGTGTGATCCACGTCCGCACCACCCTCCAGAAGTAGATCAACAACGTCCACATGTCCTTCATAGCCAGCCACCAATAGAGGGGTCATACAATCCTTGTCGCAGTGGTCAACTTCTGCCCCCCGTTCGATGAGGAGGCTGACGACCGAGGCGTGCCCTTTGCTGGCGGGGACACACAGAGCTGCAACCGAAAGGGCAGTTCTCCCATCGACGTCCTCATGGTTCACTTCTGCTCCATGGTCCAGTAGGTGCTCCACAATCTCCCGGTGGCCCATATACGCTGCAGCAATGAGTGCCGTCCTTCCTTCATTATCGGCTTTGTTAACCTCTGCCCCATGCTGGAGCAGGTTCAGCACTATGTCCTCATGACCGCCCCAAGCTGCAGCCCTCAGGGCCGTCCTGCTGTCAGCATCTGCACAGTCCACTTTTGCACCAGCATACAAAAGGGCAGACACTACTTCTGAATGACCCCCCCAAGCAGCCGACCTCAGGGCTGTCCAGCCATCATGGTCCGTGTGATTGATGTTCGCCCCACAGCCAATGAGACAGTTCACTACTTTAGTGTGCCCTTGCCTTGCTGCCAGCGTAAGTGCCGTCTGTCCATTGCTGTCTTCGAGCTCCAAGTTTGCTCTTCTGGAGATTAGAAGGTTTACTACGTCTAGGTTACCACTGTATGCCGCATTGGCTAGCAAAGTTCTACCGTTGGAGTCGCTTTGGTTCACGGGGGCCCCATTGTCCAGCAAAGTCCGAATCGAGTCTTCTCTTTCCAAGGCTTGCTGCACAATGCAAGATGCACGGTCATCCTCACTATTGACGTGGGCACCAGCTTTGACCAGGAGCTGCAATACCTCCTGTTCTTTGGGTATGGATGTTGTCAAGGAGTCCTTTGCTGGTGTGCCATTCCATACCATCCAGAGTGCAAGATTAAAGGGCTCTATCTGCAGGTTTGAGTTAATCAAATGCAATGCAAACTCTTGCACCTCCTGTGGCTTGAGCTCTTTGGCCCGGCAGGTGAAGCTCATTGCCATCATTCTGTGTCCTTCTGCCGCATTGCAGAGATATTTCTGAGTGCAGTGCTTGACATCCAACAGCCATTCAGCAAAACTATAGTGAAAAAGAATCTTTGTGCTGCCCAAGCCGTTGACCAGCAACTTCGAGAGGATGTCCATTTTCCTTTGAAACTCTTCCATGGTCAACGTCATGTTTTTCGTCCAGACAGCATGGTAAAGCTCCTTGACTGTCAGGGGCCTACATGAGGCTAGGATCACGTTGAGGATGGGCTGCACTTTGGTGAACTGCTTCCTTACAAACAGTCTCTGGCACAGCCACAGGTAAAGGCCGTTCAGTGTCCCAGGGATGTCGCGGATCTCACGCAGCATGATGAAGTTCTCCACCACTCCATCGAGTACCCGCTCTAAGTACAGGAAACAGCCGCTGCTCTTGATGTGAAGCTGGTTCAACATCTCGGCCGTCTCCTTGGTTAGGTGCTGCCTGAGAGCCTCCTCCTGGTCCAGGCGGTGCAGGATGTACTGCTGCACGTCTTTGACGATGTACGCTTTCCGGAGGTCATCCAGGCTGATCTTGCGAAATCCTGCAAGAGACCAAGAAGAATGGAAGTCAATTAGAAGTGAGCACTGCAATTTCATTAAATTCTGGGCATCAAAGGATTGCCTTATCTTAAAACAGATTCCACTTCCCTGAATTGCCAAGGTGTATTTACAACATTTTCTTTGTATACATAAAGTGGTTTTGTATCCCAATGGCCATACAATTATTTAATGCAGCCTCCCGCTGTCAGGTTTTATTCAGCAGTTAGACACTTTATCCTAACCCTTCACTCCTTAAAAGTAGCCATTAAAAGGACACTCCTTTCAGAGAGTGTAAGCCATTTAGTGATAATGCACTGATGGTGCAACCTTAGCTTCTTACCAGTGGTTTTTATAGCAGGGATATAGACATGGAAAGTCATGGTTCAATATCAGCTTTTATATAAGCAGCCAGAGAACATTTAAAATCTTTTAAGCACTGAGATACCTGTATGTGCAAAAGCCCTTTCCCAACTATAATCAGAAGAAAGAGAACTCTGCTGAAAAGTACTAAATATGATAGGTCCAAAAACATGACGACCATAACAGACTTCTAAATAACTTCATGCTTGGACCACCAGTAGTTGTGCAGCACATTCATTGCAGAGGCAGGGACAGATATTTTCTGTTAATCTGAATACACCACAACGTTTTTTATAAAAGAAAAAAGAAAAAAAAAAGAACATGATGAACAAACACAAAGTCTGGCACAGATGTCCGGCACCAACGTCAATTGGCACAGCAATGAATGTGTGACATAAGCAAGTTTAGTAAGATCACTCTGGAATGAAGAGTTCCGGGCTATAGAAAAGCTAATGTTGCAATAAGAAATAAGCCCTCCTGCAGAAGCTTATTACAGATACAAATATCCAGACAATAAAGCCGATATAATTACTTAACTCAATAAAACCCAGAGTTACTAGCTACTTCATACATACAGTCATTCCCACATTTACGCCTTTAATGTACACAATGCATGTAACTACCAGAAGTTGGACTGCCAGTATAATTTGGTTCTCTACATTAATGAATGCCTATTATTTCCTGTAAGTGCTATTAGACCCGTTGAAAGCGGAAATGATTCGTTTCAGCTCTCCAAGCCACACTGGAGGAAGTGCTCTAAGTAAACCAGTCCGTTCAGTGCTGGAACCCAAGGGAAGTGTGGAGGAATCTGGAGACTGGGGCTTTCCCATGGGCTGAAGATTGGAGGAGCTTCACTTGGAGGGAGGTGAAAACGTGCACATGCACGGCTCTGGCGTTGCTCACATATTCTGCAAACGCAGTCCGGATGGACTCAGTGGGACTGAAGCACAGCACTCTACCATTATTCATCTCCCTTGTGAGTCCGTTTACTTCCTTACGGTCACTCTCCGTTAAACAAATGGAGCCAGACTCACATCGTCCACAGGCCGTACAAGGTAAAGAATCAGGCGGGAGCTCCTCGGGAACACAAGAACAAGGAAGGTGTTGGAGTGAAATTTTACACCGAAAATTGTCTACAATTGTCCACAATCTGATAATGACCATATAGCTGCTATGTAGATAAAAAATTGAAACTGAACTGCATAGGAGATGTATAGGAATTCCTAAGCACATGCACTAACCCATCCTTCAATGACAATGCAATCCCAACCACTGAGGTCAGTAACCTGTGTGAGTTCAGCTGGAAACCTTATGGAGGCCCATCACAAACACATTGTCTCAGCACTAGGCCATGATGTGCTCCAGCACCTGGGAGGCAACCCAGGCAGGACAGTGGGGAAGGATGGAACTGATGCTCCTGGTCCGAAGCATTTCCAACCAAACGGAAAGGCTAGCCGTCTCACCGAACTTTGAGATGCAGCTACTTGCGTGACATGCAGCTACTTGCGTGACATGCATACACTTTCGGGGGGCAGCACCAAGCTGCAACTAAGATCAGCTCACCTGTGCACCAGATCAACGCATATCCGTAAGCAAACTGAGCGAATCTGCTGACCGACTCGCAGCAACCTCAAGGGAACGACAGGGCAAAGGTCACAGATGGATTTCTGGCATTCTCGAAACTCAAATGGAGCCGATATTTTGCTCGCGTTCAGGTCATCTTCTGGCAGTACAGTGAAAATGGGAAAATCCCCAGGAACAGCAGAAACCCTAAAAGCAATGCTTTTAAAGCAATTTGAAGCTGTCCAAAAAAAGACCACCAGCTGGGAGCCAAAGAACCGCAGAGAAAAGGCCTGTGATTGAAGGAGACCTGAAAGCCCTTTCATTCAGCCGCTGAGGACGGGGGCTGCCAGGCTCACACCTGGGCTCACGTCACGCGCCGCGGCCCGCGCCAAGCTCCGCGCCTGTTCTCGCCACGGGCTCTCTGGCTGGGCAGAGAAACCCTCCGCTTCACACGTGGCCCTCTAGCCACATGATTGGTAGGGTGTAGGGGAGGAAGAGACACCATAACGCTTCAACATCTAGACTCGGCATCAGAGCTCTCTTTTCTTGCCCGTTTTTTCTCGACAGCAGGCCACAATAATACGGCGATGATGCATGGAAAATCCACCCTGGTTCCTCTTATTTATGAAGTGTTAAATATGGCCATACACCCAACAGCCCCGTGAACAGAGAAAAGAGGCTGCTCATATGGGTCCAACTCATTGTTTATGGGTCTGAATCAATGCTAACGTAACAGATGTCCCTGCTACAAAAGATGCAGGGAATGAAAGGGAAGCTGGAACTGGACTCCAGCATGTCCATCCTCTTTTTGTATGACGTTTATAATGGTTACCCTTATCTTTAAATGAAAGCCCAGTAAGTCTTTTGAACTTTTGCCAACTATGGAAACCCATTAGTCTTCATTGTGCAACTGCCTCTGGTCATCACTAATTGACTTCCTCCGGTTGGTCATCCGGTAGTCATCGCCAGGGATCACACGAGGTTACAGGTTTACTGCAATATCGTTTTTTTTTTTTCCATACCCAGCAATCAGATCATTTTTTTAAGCCCGGAACAAAAGTCTATGCACATTAGCACCAACTGCATTTACTGATTATAACTATACAGTAAAGTACTACAGAACCGTTCATTAGAGTAGAACCCTCGATGACCCCCTCAAGCGTGTTTATGGCCTATAGGATGTACTCCACGTGGCTCGGGTACTGCAACCAGCTGTTGATCGTTACGAGCAGGAAACACACAGGCCCGGGACCGAAGCGGATGCACAGAGCAGAGCCGCCGGCCTAACTAATCCTGCAGATGACGAAGGAGGAGCAAGCGGCTTCTCTGGAGGTCCGAGCCCAAAAATCACGGCTAAGTCTGGCTTCGATTTCAGACCTTTTGAGGTGCGCGAGCTGTATACGTGCCCGGGTAGGGTTTGGTCTTCAATGACACACGATAGCGCGGCATGGGAGGGTGTAGACAAACCCATAACCTCAGGTATTTCACACTGCCCTCCAATAAACACCTTCCACCAAGTCAGTAGTATTCAGGTTCCTAACATATCATCATGGGCCACCAAAGACAACTGAAGACATTTATAAGGGCTCTGTCACCACTGTTTATGGGCAATATGCAATTAAACTCATGTTGTAAAGCCAATATAATTTTAGTAACCTTATGTAATTTGCTCCATTTTCTTTCTATAGTTTATTCGAAGCAAACTTTTTTAACCACTTGATAGCCATTAAAGCATTTTAGGTTAGGAACCAACACCAAGGTACAACACCCAGACTGGAAATGGGCACACATGAGGTCAAGGTCTATTTTCATCTTGATGACTACAGACGGTCCCGGTCCCGGGTTATGACGGTCCGCGTTACATTTCAATTTTACGATGGGTAAATGTTTTTCACTATCAGTACATTATTCAATAAATTACAGGAGATATTCAACACTTTTTTTCTATATAAATTAGGCTTCATGTTAATGATTTTGCCCAACTGTAGGCTAATGTACGTGTTTTAAGCATGTTTAAGGTAGGCTAGGCTATGATGTTTGTTAGGTTAGGTGTACTGTATTAAAATGCATATTCGGCTTACGATGGGGTTACGTTCCGGCAAACCTATCATAACCTGGGGAGAGGCTGTAGGGTTATGTTACTTGGCATATGACAAATTCGGGGAACAGAAGAACTAAACAAGAGAAGCATCCTGCGCACATATATACTACATGATAAAAGGGAACCATTTTGCCTTTAATAAACTATGAAAAGGTCTCATGCATACAGGGTATCTGAATCAACTTTGGAAACAGACGGTCTAGACACGTCCCATTCTGACATTTAAAACACCAGCTTCCAGAGCTACAGGAACGCACAGTCAGTAATTCCTGGAGCGATATCTGCAGACAGATTTATTTATTGGAATTACAACATAAGAGGCATAGTCAAATAAATATGTAGAGGAGAAGCGTTCCCATTGAGATGTCGGGGCTTCGAGGTGAAATAACCAGTCTGAGTCGAGACAGGCAGCTCATTCGCAGCAGACGGTTCCCAGCGCTTGGTCTGTGAAATGCCTAAGACGATCCGTCGTGATAAGTCTGCTGTACCATGTGATATTCCCATCTCAATCGTTGACTCGAAATACCAGGCTCAGCGGAGATTAATCCAGCACGAAATCATGTATGTGGGAGTGCATAAGCCACACGCTTCGGGAGAGCGCGAACTGCTCCACGGCAAGAAAATGCTCACGTCTTAACGCTTGGGCAGAGTATGGATACTGCTTGCAAATTTCTGATGCCATTTCTGCCAGGACTCCCAGATTACAGCCAGAGCAGACAAGACGGGGGGGGGGAGGTTGGGACTTGTGTTACACTGCTTCTCACTGGCCTGATAGATTTCCCACCCCCATCTAACTCAGTACCAGCATCTGCATCTATTCCCTAACAAATGCACCACACCAAGATGGAAGAGGGAACATTTTGCTATAGCAAACATATGTACATCGCTGCTGCCCATAGGGCGAGGCAAGTCAATGACTTCTGGAACTTTCCGGACCTTTCTAGGTTGTGACATTCCTGGCAGGTCACGCTACGAATG